GCTTTTATTTTTATATTTTCAGTTTTCATTTAGTTTTAGTAATTTATGTGCTTTTGTCATGAGAACAAGGGAACATAGTCAATATTTCACGGCGGAGAGAAATGATTCAGTACTGAGCTTATATTCACAGCTGAAGTGTTTGGATTACACAAGAGGGAAATCCATATAAATGCTGAACAGCTTGAACATACAGATGCAAAAAATATGCTGAAGTGCATTCAATATTTTTTTTAATACAGCATCTTGAACACTGCATAAGCACAGAACTGTGATTGTAACGCCCCTGTGGACTGTTTGTTGTGGTTTCTTCCCTTTGTGTTGGTTTAGCCCGTCTAATCATTAGTTAATAACCATCATTGTGCTCACCTGTCTGCCTCTAATTATTCACCCCATATTAGTTCCTGTCTGTCTGAGCATTGGTGTCGGTTATTGTTAATGTTACCCCGAGTGTGTGTCTCACCTACCTGAACCTGCCTTGTTGTGTCTACAATAAATGTCATTATTGGAATCCTTGTCGTCCTCGTCGTCCTGCCTGCCTCCACACACCCGTTTCCGTCACAGTGATGATATTAAGAACATAAAATAATATAATAATAATTTTTATTTTTTTTTTTAAACATAACAGATCCATTATGTTTGTGACAAGTTATCTGAGAGTATGTATTACCACAATACAACTTCAGACAGTACAAGTTTTTTTATTTTATTGAATATTATTTCAATATTTATATTTTATTGATATATAATTACAGCAATTTTATAATACACACCATTATTGGTTTGTGTAAAACAGCAAACACCAGAAAATTAAATATGAAAACAGATACATACACATATACATACAATAAACGTTTATTAATTTAAATCAATTAAAATGAAAAAGTAAATAAATGAATAAATAAAACTGAAATATACAATAATTTAAATTGAACTAGACTGATTAAAACATTAAATAAATTACTAAACGTTTGTGTGTATGTATAGCCTATATACAGTACATATAAACACAGTAAGTGCTTATTAATTTAATATATTTTAATTAGTTTAATTTTAATTCTTCATAAATAGTGTATTTAATAAATGGTAATAATTCTAAATTAATAATAATACTTTTCATCTAGTTAAATTTCAATACTAGACTAATATATATATATACTAAATAAATTAATATATATTAATTTTATTAATACACACATATATAAATCAGTATATACACACACAATAAACGTTTAATTGAATATATTTCAGTCTAGTTTAATTTTATACACACAACAAACATTTATTAAAATAACATCAAATTTTAAATATATTATTTAATATATTTTAATTAATCTATATAGATAATTTTAATTCTTTTATATATATTTTTTTACTCCAAATGTTTACGTTAGTTCCTAATACCGTACTCTAAACTATTCTATAACACATCATAATAAATTATGATGAATTCAAACATAAATCTAATATTTTTTCCATAACTGAAGTCTTTTTTTCAATAAAAAGCACCTGCAGTGCATCTCACCTCGTCGAGCTGGAAGATCTCCGGATCTCCCTTCTCCAGCGTCTTGAGTTTCTGTTCCAGGGCCATCCATTCTCCCCTGAGGGCCAGAGGCATCAGGCGCTGAGGGCTCCCCGACATCATACAAGACCACAAAATAACCTCACAGGAATCAAACCACACGGGTCTGTCAACACACAAAAGCACGTTCATTTACAAGACAAAACCCAGACGGATCTGCAGCAGGTGCTGATCTAGCGGTTCCTCCCTCTTGGTAGGAGACTAGGAGGTAACTTATAAAGCGCACATTCCTCCGACTGTCCGCAGCGGGTTAAAGTTTGCAAACTCCGCCTTCAGTTCCTCCTGTTACCCTGGATTCAACAAAAAAGACCATTTGAAACAATCCCACAGAAAAGAGACAATAGCAAGAGCTCATGCTGCTGAAAACAGCGTTTCAGCTGTACTTTCAGTCCTCGTTTTACTGCTGTTGTCAACGTTAACTTACCTCAAAATCAACGCCAACTTTTTTATGCTAAAATAATAATGCGTTAATCTCTATTTTAGGGTAAAACCAGGTCCATCTGTATGGAACGGTGTTTTCGTTTGAGCACATCACGTTTGTTTGGTGTAGCATGGTAAATTTGACATTTTTTTAAAGTGTATTCTGACATGTAGCACACATACACACACACACATATATATATATATATATATATATATAGGCCTATATAAACTTACCACTGTGACTTCTGTCTCAGTTGCACCGATCAACCGTTGAAATTAAAACATTTTACCCAAAATATAGAAATAACCCAATAAACTTTAAGAATAACCCAATAAGCAATCCAATATGTTTAACCCAGATATTGTGTAGTAAACAACCCAAGAAAATAGACCTATAACTTAATTAATTTGTATTTCCTGCTAGCATAAAGCACATACATAAACAAAAGATTCACAAACCCGCTCCGAAGTTCCGATCTGAATCAGATAATTCGCGAACCGGCTCCGAAGTTCCGATCTGAATCAGATAATTCGCGAACTGGCTCCGAAGTTCCGATCTGAATCAGATAATTCGCGAACCGGCTACGAAGTTCAGCTCTCAATCAAATGATCCGCGATATGCGCTCCGAAGCTCCGATCTGAATCAAAAGTAGGGATGGGCGATACCCCTTATTTTGTTTTCGATACGATACCGATATTTTTCAAGGCACTATCGTCGATATCGATACCGATTCGATACTTCTGCACTAAACTTTTAAATTATGAAATGTATTAAATTATTAAATTACTAAGAGTAAAATGGGTAGTGAAAACCACTTAACTTTATGTTTAAAACGCATTTTAACCCGTTTAATCCCAAATTTTTCCCAGACATGAAAATATCCAAATGATGCGTCATTAGTAACCCTTTGAAATAATCAATTTTTTTTTTTTTTGGAAAAGTGTGTGAAAAATTTTATTTTATGGTCAGTCACAATTGTAACCGGTGGGATAATGTGTATACTGAATTTACATATTTCTGCAGTCATCAAATTTTTTATATATCTTAGCCCAGCTATTTTAAACTGTTTGATCACATTACTATTATGCATAAAAACCCTTATACAACATTGATAGGAATACTGAGATCAAATACAAAAAAATACAACCATCAACGTATTTCAAAATTTTTACTTTTTTTGTAACATATATCATCACATTTTTATATTAGTGCTACCAGTATTACAACATTAATATTCTAACATATTTGTAACATTTGAACTTTTGATTTAGTGCAATATTTTGTACTGCCATTAGGGACTGCCAGTGACCGGTTGTTGCATGCATAAAATGCAACCTTTTTATTCTGACAGTGTATGATTTCTATTAACATTACAGAATAGAACATGATCAATATTATCTTTCAACGTTCAATTTAAATAATTGTAATTGCACAAACTATGTAGGCTACAATTTCAATTTGTTTATTGTGAAATAACTCAAACATTTATGTTTTTATTTCTGTCCTCTGATAAGCATTGTTCAGGGCTGCCATTCCCAAAAGCTTTAATGCTTTCTTATGATACTTTTGGGAAACGCAGCCCTGTTTGATGGTAACAGCCCAAATGTCTTATTCTTCTTCACTGATTAAATGTAAGAATTTGACTCAAAAGATAATGCACACTTTATAAAAAAATGGCTTTATAAAGGTAAAATGCCCATAAAAGGTAAAAATCTATTTAAATTTATCTGACCACCACACAGAATATGAAGAATATCAAAAACTTTAGGAGTCAGCTGTCCATGAAAGTCCTTAAGATACCAGCATGATAACACACGCAATCAGCTGAATGAATGACTCAATACTCACTCATTAAGTGTCTTACCATCACTTACTGGTAGTTCAGCTGAGAAGTTAGTTAAAGTATGCATTTTTCCCCTTAACATTTCTTATTTGTATATTCATAAATGCATTTAAAACATTAATCTCGTACTTAATTTTATGATTTTTTAAAGATATGTGGGTAGTTGACATTTCAAACAGTGACAACTGGGCCAATGTGACATGCTATTATATTGTCATATCTATTATATCTAAACCTATTTAAGTATTTTAGTATTTTAAGTATATAAAATGTTTAAC